GAGACTCATGTAATACTTTAAACAATAAAGAATTAAAAAAAAAAAAGATAGGAAGGAAACTCCTGAAATTATAATGAATGCTTAAAGGCACAGTGAGGTCTAGCATATGGTTTAGAAACCTTAGGAACTTCAGAAACAAGGGGAATCTTTGCCATTTGCCTGGGCAAGAACACGCTCCTTAATAAAGAATGCATTTGGTGCCCTGGCTGGCATAGCTCAGTTGGATGAGTGTTGTCCCATGCACCAAAGAGTCACCAGTTGGATCCCAGGTCAAGACACATACCCAGGTTTTGGGTTCAATCCCCGGTTAGAGTGTGTACTTGAGGCAACTGAAACTGATCTATGTTTCTTTTTCACATTGACGTCAATCCCTCTCCCTTCCTCTTTCTCCAAGATAAAAATCAATAAAAACATGTTCTTGGGTGAGGATTAAAAAATTTTTTTAAACCCAAGATATTACTCTTCCTACATATGTCCGTAATACTGCCTAAGAAAATAAATCCAAGAGTTCTCATCGTTATATTCCTGTTATTTCCAAACTATAAAGATAATTGAATGTAGAATGAAACTGTTTACATGTAAAGATTTCACTTTAATAACTCAATAAAATTCTGTTCTTGCAGAAAACTAGGAGAGCATATAATTTTCCCTAGTCTGGTATATTAAAAAATTTTAACCACACCTACAATAAAATATATCTTACACTGTGATTCAGTACACAGATATACAGTCATAATATACGTATATGTTTGCATATTTATGTGCATGTATGTGTGTGTATGATTGGAACACACACACACATTTACTGTAACAATAACTAGCCAATGTTACTTTAGAGATGGTTATTAGTTAAAAACTTGTACAAAGGGAATCATAAATGAAAAGCACAAGCCTAGAATATTTTTCTTTCTCTAAGGGTTTCTTAATCAAATGATTCAACAAACTAATTGATGTTCTGCAGACTTGAAACTACTACAACTCAGTATCTAGACACAATTCCCTTTAGGTTTTAGGTTATGACAATTAAATTAGTATTTTTAAACAGCAATTTTTTAATTCATAGTGTTTCCTTTGCATATTTTATTAAAATACTAGGGGCCCAGGGCACAAATTCGTGCACCTTGAAAGGAACTGTGGGCTGCAAAGCTGTGGTGGGCACAGGGGCGGGTCTCGGCCCACCTCCCTGCCCCTGCCCAATCCCTCCCACTGTGGCTCCTGGTCTTCTGTCTGCCGGCAGCCCCGCTCCCGCCGCCACTCCCATGAGCTGATGGCACTGGCCCCGCTTGCACCTGCTGATGGTGTGGAGCGATTGGGGCTGGCGCCAGCAACGGGTGTGAGCAGAAATGGCGCCGTCAGTGGGTGTGAGTGGTGGCTTCTGCCCCAATTGTCCCTCAGGAGCAGGGTGAGATGGAGAATTCCCTCACGGGTGATGGGGGCTGGCAGCCACCGCTCACACCCGCTGATTTCACCAAGCGATCAGGACCAGCATCAGGCGCTGGCAGTGGGTGCGAGCAGCGGCTCCGGTGCCAGCAGCAAGTGCAAGAGGCGGCTTCTGGCCCCGATTACCCCTCAGGAGCAGGGGGAGGTGGAGAAGCCCTGGGGGGCGATCAGGGTCGACAGCCACCGCTTGCACCTGCTGACAGTGTCAAGCGATCAGTTTAACTGCTGTTAAACTGACAGCAGGTGTGAGCGGTGGCTCCAGTATCAGCAGTGGGTGTGAGCAGGGCTGGTGCCGGCAGCAGGTGCGAGTGCCAGGCGGGACGGCAGCACGTGAGAGCAAAGAATTTTCAGTAACCACTAGAGGCTCACCCTGATGACGGCAACCAGCGCCCTGCCTTGGTCTGGCACTCCTGCTCACCTGCTCCACCATCCCACCACGGCCAATGCCCACCATGTTCCATGTACTGCTGTCTGCTGCCAACGCCTGCCATGTTCTGCACGTGCCCCTGGTGGTCATTGCACGTCATAGCAACTGGTTGTTCGGTTGTTCCACCGGTCAGTCTATTTGCATATTAGCCTTTTACTATACAGGATTATTCATTTTTAACTTCCTATCTCTCAAAGTTTTTTGCCAGTGTTGTTCATGACAGGTAGACAGACTTTTATTAAACATCTAGTGGGAATAAGTGGATAACTGTAAGGTGCTGAAAGGGAATTTAATATGTTGGAGAAACACTTCAAATAGTTGTTGATATATTATTAGTGCAAATATTAGCTGTGGTAACAAAACTAAAGTATCATGGAAATAATGCAGGCTCTATGATGGCAAGAAAGGCTTCTAGCACAGTGCAAGTGGCAGGATAGATGTTTAATAAATCACAATTTGTTCATGAGGCTATCAGATACATTTTAATATTCAATCTTTTGAGCAGATTCTTCTGCTCTTCAAATTTCCTTCAGTACTGCATTCTTTGTTTTTCCTTTCCTCCTTTCCTCAGAAAGTAATAATAACTGGCCAATGTCAGTGTAGAGATGGTTAGTAGTTGAGAACCTATACAAAGTAAATCATAAATGGGAGCTCACTTTTGACAAACATTACTGGTGAAATACTGACTGACAATTTGGCCTTTCATTTCATCCTTTCTTGATCCATTGCATGTGTTGGGAATGATATTTACTAATGAATATTAATGATATACTCACTATTTTGTTGGCTCATAATTGATTGGGACCTTATAAACCTCAGTAAATTTCCAACAATTCTACAGTCTCCTTTAGTTCACCAGATAAACCACAAATACATAACTTTGACTTCATATTAAAAATATTTTTGATGCTTATAAAAGTCGCAATACCAGGTCACACACCAGCTCAATTAATTCAGAGTCTCTGGTTTGTGAGATCCAATAATTATGATTTTTTAATTTCCCCAGTGATGCTGCCAAGTTTCCCTCCCTCTTTCCTTCCCTTTCTTCTTCCCTCTGCCTTTTCAGGATAATTTTTCATTTGACAATAATAATCTTTGGAGGGTACTCTAGCCATTAAGCTCCAGAAGATCAAGAAGAATTCTGTGGCTATGCAGATTACTTTAAGAGATGTCAAATTTATCTTTATTATATCAAAATTCCCAAGTAGATATTTTGTTAAGGAACTTTTCCCATTCTCTCTCTCACCAAAGGAATAGCATAGACATAGGCTAGTCACAAAAGTGAATTCTTCAATAGAACAAATTTTTAAAAAATGTATTTCTATTGATTTCAGAGAGGAAGGACAAGGGAGAGATAGAAACATCAATGATGAGAGAGGATAATTGATATATGCCTCCTACACACACCACACTGGGGATTGAGCCCACAACCCAGGCATATGCCCTGACTGGGAATCAAACCATGACCTCCTGGCTCACAGGTTTACACTCAACCATTGAGCCACGCTGGCCAGGCTAAACTAAAATTTAAACATAAAGATCTCATTCTTGGTTCAATGAGTTTTGAGATAA